ACGGCGAGGTGGTTCTTTGGTTAGCCACGTCCGATGACCAGAAAGTAAAATCTTGCAGGTACGTCGGGATGATCAGTCCCGATATCCTCCCAACTCATGAGTAGCTTCGTTGGCAGTGGATTCATGAGTGGGCCACTGCCCCCTGCTGAAACTAGAAGTCTTACATCTCTTCAGATGTTTCACACACACACCCTCCTGCAGGAGGGTGGGAAAATTAAGGTCTGGACAAATGAGATGAAAATGAGAATGAAGGAAATGAAGATGAGGTGAGGATGAAAATGTGATGAAAGTTACTTAACCAGGACGCGAAGAGGGGAACGCAAAAGAAGAGGGAAGGAGCAAACACCAACACAAACACACCTGGCCCAAAGCGGGCAAACCCTGAAAGGGCAAGAGAAGAAAACCGGAGGCCGACGGAACGGAACAAGACCAGCGGAGGAAGGGGAAGACGGAAGCGCCTAAACCAACCTACCACATCGAAACCTAAGCCTACCTAAGCACGCGCAGGACCCGACCTACCTGTAGAGAGGAGCACACATGAGATAGGGGACCCAATGGTGAAAAGATGCATCCACAAACCAATGCAAGAATTCGTGATAAGGCTCAGGGCCCTCAGTGGTCAATTCAACCCTATCGACGGCTGTCAGTAGTCAAAAATGAATTACGTGCACAATTGAACCTCACCAGAGACCATGAAAAGAAAAAGTACCACACCTAAAGTCATGAACCTGCCTGGAGATTCCACCATGTTGCAAATGCTGATACAAGTCAGTCACACTCTTGAGCAATGTTGAAAAAGGTTGTTGTCGTGGCGTCCAGCTATGCAGACAGCTATCAGTGAGAGGAAGATGGTGAGTGCCCAAACTGCGGCCAGCTGTTCAACACACCGATCGACAAGTGAAAGCATGGAAGAAGGCCGACTGTTTCACTTTACTTAGACAAATTACTAGGTTGAAAACTGTAAATTCGGAGATCAAGTCGAAGGATCAAATTTCCTACCTAGAAAGGTATTCCCCGAAGGGTTCATGCCACCATGACGAATCCAGCATGAGCCACGCACTTGCTCAGAACTGTCATTGCGATTTTTTATGGAATGCATCTTACGTGAAAAAAACACGCCGGATACACCTGACAGGAATGGGTCGATGAAAGGACCTGAAAACCAGTAAAAACTGCCATCGCCATAGTCAGTGCCAAATGAAGTGCATGGGAAGCTGACCCTTCCCCTTTCAACAAAGCCATATCGCTCCCAACTTGACAGATTGCGAAAATCGTACAGACATTGAAGTGACCTCAAATTGGTTGAAAAAAGCTGAAATTGGTTGAAAAACGGCGAAGTGGTTCTTGGGCTAACCACGTTCCATGACCAGAAAGTAAAATCTTGCAGGTACGTCGGGATGATCAGTCCCGATATCCTCCCAACTCATGACTAACTTCGTTGGTGGGCCACTGCCCCCTGCTGAAACTAGAAGTTTTACATCTCTTCAGATGTTTCACACACACACACGTACATACATACATACATACATACATACATACATACATACATACATACACACATACATACATACATACATACATATATACATACATACATACATACATACATACATGCATACATGCATACATGCATACATGCATACTTACATACATACATACACACACCCACATACATACGTGCATGCATGCATACATACATGCATGCATGCATGCATACATACACACACAGACATACATACATACATACATACCTACATACCTACCTACATACCTACCTACATACCTACCTACATACCTACATACCTACATACCTACATACCTACATACATACATGAATACATACATAAATATATATATATATATATGTATATACATTTACATATATATATACCGCTGGACCGAAAGTTAGAATGCCACTTTGGAGGAAAAAACATTGATTTTAAGAAAACAGCCGCATACCGCGTGAGAAATCCGGGAGGCATTCTAACCCTATTTATTTAGTCCTGAAACCCCTAAACAAATCCGGGACGGCATTCTAACCCTATTTATTTAGTCCTGAAACCCCCAAATTTCCAAAATTTCGAATCTTCGACCGTCCCGTGTACTGCAAATATGTAGAATATGCATGTAAATTGCAGAAATCTACCCAAAAGATAGTGATATCAACATGCAGAATTTGCAGGTATTTGCAAAAACATGTTCATGATCAGCCAAAAAAACATGATCAGTAAAATTACAGAATATGCAGAAAAAATGCAATGTCGTGATCCACCGATCCAAGAACACCTCGTTTACTCACATCTAATATGTATGTACATGTACATATATATATACATATATATGCAATATTTACAACGCATATATGTCTGTATAATGCCGTTTTCGGAGGTTACCATCCTGTTTAATCAACATTTCATTATCGTGGGGAATACCGTGGGAAAAGCCCCGACGCGCATTCTAACCCTATTTATTTAGTCCTGAAACCGCTAAACCTCCAAAATTCTTGACGAAATTTTGACCGTCCCGTGTCTTCCATGTACTGCAAATATGCAGAATATGCATGTAAATTGCAAACAAATCTTTCCATGAACAATAACATCGTACTGTTAATTTAGATATGCAGAATATACATGTATTTGAAAGGTATTTGCCAAAAACCATGCTCATGATCAGCAAAAAAAGCATGATCAATTAAAAAAAAAACGAATTTTTGAAAAATGAAATATCGTCTGTGTATAATGCCGTTTTTGGAGGCTACCATCCTGTTTAATCAACATTTCATTATCCTGCGGAATGCCGTGGGAAAATCCCCGACGGGCATTCTAAGCCTATTTATTTAGTCCTGAAACCCCTAAAATTCCAAAATTCTTGACGAATTTTCGACTGTCCCGTGTCTTCCATGTACTGCAAATGCGCAGACTATGCATGTAAATTGCTAAACTATCTACCCATGATCAATAACATGTCATAATATGCAGAAAAAATGCAAGATCGTCATCCGCCGATCCAAGAACACCTCGTTTGCTCACATCTAATATGCATGTACACGTACATAGATATGTAATATATACAGCGCATCTATATGTGTGTATAATGCCGTTTTTGGAGGTTACCATGCTGTTCAGTCAACATTTCATGATCGTGGGGAATACCATGGGAAAAGCCCCGGCGAGCATTCTAACCCTATTTATTTAGTCCAGAAACCCCTAAAACCCCAAAATTTTTGACGCATTTTGGACCGTCCCGTGTCTTCCATGTACTGCAAATATGCAGACTATGCATGTAAATAACAATAAACAATGTCATGATATGCAGACAAATGCAACATCGTATTGTAAATATAAACATGCAGAATTTGCAGGTAGTTGCCAAAAAAACGTGTTCATGCTCAGCAAAAAAAGGATCAATAAATAATGACAAAATATGAAGAAAAAATGCAATATCGTCATCCGCCGATCCAAGAACACCTCATTTCCTCACATCGAATTTGTATGTACATGTACATATATCTAATATATACAGCACATATATTATATGTCTGTATATTGTCGTTTTCAGAGGTTACCATTCTGTTTAGTCAATTTCATTATTGTGGGGAATATCGTGGGGAAATCCCCGGCGGGCATTCTAACCTTATTTATTTAGTCCGGCCCTAAACCTCCAAAATTCTTGACGAATTTTCGACCGTCCCCTTGCAAACAAATCTTTCCATGAACAATAAACAATGTCATTTTTGTTGACTATTTTTTTCCTCGCAGAAACTAGCTCAAAGCCAGGTTTTGATAGCTCGACCCGCTTTTTTCAGGCATTTGGTTGATGTAGGTTGTAAATATATATATACACACACATTTATTTATATATATACATTAAATGATGAAGATGATATAAACTGTGGTAAGTACTTTTCTCAACCGTCATTGGGGACCAAGATTTCATTTATATATTCAGAACCTATATAGAATGCAGAAGTTTTGGGCGCATATGCTGCGGAGGCATTCTAACCCTACAAGAAACAAGGTTTGATGGCCCCGGCAAACCCAGTTTTTGGTCGGTTTTGGACTACGGTTTTTTACGGTTTTTTCTGGGTTTTGATGAGTTTTTACAGGTTTTGGACGGTTTTTCTATGGGTTGTGGCGAAGCTGCTTCATCAAAAACCTAGTTTTGTTGACTAAAACCTCTCTTTTTGGCAGAAACTAGCTCAAAACCAGGTTTTGATACCTCGACCCGCTTTCTTCAGGGATTTGGTTGATGAAATATATATATATACACACACACATATATATATATACACATATATATATATATTATATTTAAAATCTATGTAGAAATCAGTTTTTTGGGGGGCATATGCTGCAGATGCATTCTAAGCCTACAAAAAATAAAGGTTTGGTGGCCCCGGCACAGCAGGTAGGCAAGTTTGATCAAACAATTTTTGAACATTATTATCCGCATTTACCAGCATAACACGGACTGAAAGGTAGAATTTTGGTTTTTTTTGACAATTTTGGTGTGGCATTCTAGCTTTCAATGGATTTTTTTTGGTGGAAAGTGTGATATTCTAACTTTCAGTCCGCCGGTATATCTATCTATCTATCTATCTATCTATCCATCTATCTATCCATCCATCTATCTATCTATCTATATATATATATATATATGTAGCCAACCAGAATTATTTGGGCTGCAAATGCGGTATATGCTCATAGAATGGCATTTCGCGGGGGAGATATGATTTGTTAACGATCAATTTTGGGGGTATCCGATTTCTGGACAAACTCCTCTTGTTCAAATTAGGAAATTATTGTGCCCCTATTTTGTGAAAATCTATAGGGTGGTTGGTTCTGACAGCAGGGCCTCCAAAATAGTTCCAATTCCAAAAACACCATGGGACTCCCGCATTCCCGGCCAATTTTCATCAACCATGGAGGTTATATTTGGTTCGGGGTTGGTATGATTGCAGATTGACCAGCATTTCTTGGTATACTTGGATGCGCTCCGTGCATTTAGGTTTGATGTTGGATGAGTGTCCACACAGTGTGCAACGTGAAAACGCTGCCATGAACCTCGCTGGGGGGTGGGCCAAGCATGTTCTTCAGGATGCCACCACTATGGCCATGTTGCAGCGCAAGTCTGGGGCGGGATTCTTAGGAGGCTGTGACAGTCCAGCTTACTCAGTAACAGGTTACAGCAGCCCTTTATGCAACACAGTCCAATTTCTCTAGAGGTGCTGGTAGGTCAAAACCACCAACCATTGACCAATCGGCTACTCTTTACGCCGGAGAAAGCACCCAGGTGCTACAGCGAGCTGCTAAACTGAAGCGTGGTGGCAGCATGCAGTCCATCGACACCAATGGCACCGACTTCGGGATTCCAGCAACCTGGCGGCGTTGTTTAGCCAGGAACATGAAGGCTTCAGGGTCCATGTCATACACCACAACCTGGGGGTTCTCAATTTGTGGATATCACCTTTTTTTGATATGGCAGATGAAAAACGGTAACGATGGTGGATGCTGGAAACACATTGGTTCGAGGGAAGGTTGTGCAATATCTGGCAGGTTCGTGCTCACACATCCAAATCGAAACAAGCTACACTTCGAGTAATGTCAACTCCAGATTAATAAATTCCTGCGTTTTTCTTAATTGGGGCACACCAGTTTAATGGCAAATTATCACTATTTGGGGGTACCCCTAAGATGATCCAACTGAGGCAACTCCCGAGAGTCCAGGTCCAAGTCCAATTTCAAGAAAAAAGCTGGAGGACACGAACACGTCTTCATTCGCTAGAGATGCACGTTTTGTATCGTTCTGTCTGATGGAAAAACATAGGAAAAACATGGAAAACTAGCGATCAACTTGCTTCTTCTGGCGTTTTCCATGGAGAGATGTGTCGGGTGTCAGACCCCCAAACTTCTCAACTAGGTTACGCCGTGACGGGTGGCCTGTGGGCGGCGGCGTCACTTTTATCCTTCATGGTCTCCATTTGCACACCTTTGCCATTTCTTTACACATCTGTGCAGGTGTGAATTTGTCATTCATATTTTTTGCTGCGTCTCCACACCCACTCAAAAACTTTCTCTTTCAGGCGAAGATTGACCACGCTATGCCTTTTGGACTTGTTTTTTGAAATTCAATTGCTTTGGCGGCCACTTTTTCGGGACACCCCAAGCTCTGTCAAGAAATTGGGTGCCACCCACTTTGCTCAGCCCCCTTTTAGGTGCTTTCTTCAAATTGACAGCGAACAGTAGCGAACTGTTTCGCATTGTGATTAACTTGCACCAAAGGCATTCTCATTTTTCGAGCCAACATTTGCCGTGCTTTGGAACCGTCGCAGTGGTGGCAGCGTCTTCCAAGTTTCTTCAACATGTTAACAACGTAGCATCAAGAGCGTCTCCCAATTTACCTCAACCTGTTATCAACGTAGCATCAAGAGCGTCGTCTTCCAAGTTACTTAAACATGTTATCAACGTAGCATCAAGAGTGTTTTGCAAGTTACTTGTAGCATCAAGAGCGTCTTCCGAGTGACTTCAACATGTTATCAACGTAGCATCAAGGACGTGGTCTTAAGAACGTTAACATCCCCCCACCCCACCCCTATATTATATGCATATATATATATAATAGGATTGAATGGCATAATTCCGCTTATGTACATTGTTTCTGTATTCCAACTCCTTGGCAAAGAGACCGGTCCTGAGGTTGAGCTTGAGTTCGACTATACATTTATTGATTTATTTATTTATTTGTAGAAATCACGAAAATCGCACAAAACGAACAGGCCACCGGCCACGGCGTTAGCAACTACTCTACTCACTCTGACATGTGAATCATTTCTGGTTGTATAAATCCTGCAAAAGGGGAGCGAATCCAACTTGGCCACACCGTTCCGAGGTGGATTGCAACTTCATGGGTGGTTAGCAGTGATAGTACTGATCACCATGATAGGATCCGGACAGACTATCAGTTTCTGGTGCCATTTGCTGACCAGGACTTTCTCTCAACACATATATCCGAAGAACCAACACCGCAAGGCTCCGAGTTGCACCGGCTGTCAGACATGCGGAGCAAAACATAGCAAAACGGGTCATGGTTTACTCAACTTGGCAGTGTTTTCCTTGTGCGCATCATTCAAGCTGCCCTGAGTGTTTCTCAGGAAAGTCGTGGTATTATATCAAAGAGATAGATACAACAATATGGGGGATTGCTGAAAACGCTGGTACCCAAAATTGTTGATGTTAATGGAAAATCCATGAAAACCGATCAAAATGGATGATTTGGGGGTACTTTAATTTTAGGAAACTTTCATATGATAGAATATGAGCCGAGCCTAAGTGGTGCGCATGATGTGAAGCTGAACAGTGGGATGGGCGGGGCTTTCTTACGGCCAGGATTATCTGCCCCCATTTTCCCGTCTGAGGCGGAGTAGGAGCGTAGAGGCGACCCTACAAGATTTGCAAGTGCCCTTCTCCGAAGATTTCAGGATGAGCCAACAGTATCCACTAGCAACAACCACATTATGTTGGATTAAATATGACTAGGTTGGATGAAATTGGACCATCTTAGCGCAGAAAAGCCGCAGAGGAACGCTGAGATCCATTGCAACCTGCCAGTTGTCTCTTGCACCATGTAGAATTTATTTTTCACAGGTCAGCGTGTAGACCATGTAGACTGTGATCCGGGGGTTCTCTCTCGCTCCAGTCTCACCACTGCTCCCCCCGCTGAAAGCGCGATTGGTGAGTGGGTGATTCTGGAGGCCCCAGTACCATGCGATCGAGATGGCAACCAGCAAGTTTCACAACAGCAATTTAAGATTGACACTTGAGCATATTTAAGCAGCAATGCTTTTGTTGTGGTAAGTAATGCCAGTAGCATCGCCCCGACTTTTGCCCTTGTTTTCTCAAAGCACGTTTGTACAATTTCCATGCTCGTTCGCGGGGCCTCGTGATTTCGCGGGACCCAACAATGCCAGAGGCTCCAAAAATCTGAAAAGACACCTAGCATTTCTGGGTATGGAGCTGCAAGATCAACGTAGAACGGATGGGAAGATGTCTGAAGCATTCTTTCTTGAAGAGGAGATTTTGATTGATGGGAATTGTCATGAATTGTAGAAGCCAGTTTGCACGAGAGAGTCCTGCTTTGGTTTATATATCATGCCAGTGGCTACCCACCAAATGCAATGCAGGGGGCAGCTTTTGGCTCGAGCATTGCTGTGTTTTTCTGAGGTTGTCGTGATCCACAACACCTATCTGACCTCCCATTCAATCATTGGGGCTTAAGATAGGCTGCCCGCAATGGCCTTGGCCTTGGCATTGAACACTTTGAGCCTTGACTTCATTGCAGTGACTTTGTGTCCCACCAGTCCGTCATAAAAGCTGGTTGAATCTTCAGGGATCCCATTGTATCGGGTTGCACCAGTTAAAGTGTCCAAAAGGGTCCTTCAACAATCTCAGAAACGTATCATAAATGCCAAGCCACTTACAAGTTTCCAGCCAGAGGGCCACGGTGAACAACTTTGCTGGCAGAGTCTGATGAGGCTGGCGTGACCTGCCAGGAAGTTTGTCCAGGGTGCTTCAGGGAATCCTGCTTAGGTCTTTCAGTGGAAGTACTGTTGCCATCTGAACCTTTTCCCGCAAGAATGTGCCTTGGAGTCTTTCGTGAAGAGGTAGAGGCAATGGTGGATTCGATTCAACAAGAGCTTGAATGAAGGGAACACGAAACTTTTCACATTCATTCACAACTTCGAAAGTTGCTGAGGATCTTGGTGCAGTCTTTCATGCTGAGTGCAGCCTCGCAGTCGTCAGAAGGCTCCTGGCTTGATATCACCAATGCGAGCTCAAGCGGCTCGCTCGCACAGTGTCAGTGAGCATCTGCAGGCCGTGTGGAACATGTTTTATCAGTCACGAAAAAATTGCCAGGTGAAAGATATCCATCAAGATGTGCATCCCGCTTGATTGGCTTCAAGTGAGATGGAAAAGGTTCTCTACCGAAAATTGCGGAGCCTGTGTAGAATTTGCACCCCCATATCGCAAGCCGCCTGTAGTGGACCTGAGGTGAAGGAAATGTGATCAACTGCACTTGGGGCATCCTTTGCCGCAATGGCTTTCAGCGGCCTCCAGGAGAGACGGGAGAGCTTGGGCTGCATGGCATAGCCGTTTTCCTGCATGGTGTGCCCTGTGTCCGTTTGTATTGGGCATGGTGCTGTGCAAACTTGCGTGGTGTAGGATTTGCGTGCTCCACTTCCCTCTTTCCACCGAACTTTGCACTGTAGCTTGAGTAGACCGCATGGCTGACGTCAATGTCTTAATTTACTTTCATTGTGGAACGCGGCTGGGTTTCGGAGAATAATGGTATGACATGTCGGGTTCTTGTTGAAGATCTGTTGCTTGCAAGATTGCTGCTACTTTGCCTCGCGGCCAAGGAAGAGTTTTGTGAGAGTGGCTTCGAGTGTTTGCCCACGGCTTCCCAGAAAATCCCCCGGGAACCAGAGACAGCAGCTGCAGCTACTGAAGCTTTGGCCAATGCTTCAGAGACATCACCGCCTCTGACATTCAGTGAGCCCAATGTCACTGCCGCCGACAACTCCTCATCGAAGCCAAGTTCCTTGAGAGGAATGCACATAGGTGGAGGTCACATTGGTCACATTGGGGGGTTCGGACACCCTGGCTTTCACCCAGCAGTTCATCCCAGGCCATTCCGCCCATACCATCCAATTCGCCCTTATTATCATCCTTGGCGTCCTTATAGGCCCTATGTGCGCCCATATTGGCGGTACCCACGAGTGTGGGGAAGTGCAATCACATGCCCTTGTGGCATCTTGGCTGGATTCAGATGGGCCCCGGATAGCAAAGATCAGTGAAGCAGTTAGCAGGTTCTTCCGTAACACTTTCTTCTGGGAACAGGTAGAAGCGGACAATATTTTTTAAAGATCTTTTAAGAATACCAGTAGTACCGCACAAGGCGGTGGCGGAAGTTTCAAAACTAGGAAACCTATAGGAGAGGTTGGTTGTTGTGAATCACGGATGGCAGAGCGAATCCACTGATGGACTGACAGGTGGTGGGAGTTGTGTTTTTTGGAATGGTTGCAGTGGTCACCTTACCACAACTGCTGGATGTAGTGTGGTGTAGTGCAGTTGTAGCTGTAGTTGTAGTGTAGTGTAGTGGAGCTGTAGCTGTAATGTAGTGTAATTAATCAAGTGCAGTTGCACTTGTAGTCGTGGTGTGATGTAATTAGTGTAGTGTAGTGCAGTGCGATGTCGTGTAGTGTTGTGTAGTGTAGTGTGGTATAGTGTAGTGTAGTCTAGTTTAAGGTAGTGTAGTTGTATTTGTAGTGTAGTGCAGTGTAATTAGTGTAGTGCCGTGTCGTGTCGTGCTGTGTCGTGTAGTGTAGTGTGGAGTAGTATGTGTAGTGTAGTGTAATGTAATGTAGTGGTAGTTGTAGTTGCAGTTGTGGCTGCAACTGTAGTTGTAGCGTAATGCAATGTAATCAGTGTTGTGTAGTTTTGTGTAATGTAGTGTGGTTGTGGCTGTAGTTGTAGTTGTAGTTGCAGTTGTAGTTGTAGTGTGCTGCAGTGTAGTTAGCGTAGCGTAATTGTAATTGCAGTTGTAGCTGTGGTGGTGGTAGTAGTTGTTGTTGTTGTTGGTGGTGGTGGTGCAATTTGTGTAGTGTAGCGTAATTAGGTGTAATTAGTGTAGTGTAGTTCAATTAGTGTAGCATAATGTAGCGTAGTATATTTGCATTTGTAGCTGTAGCAGTAGTGTAGTGGCAGTTGTAGTTGTAATTGTCTATCTATCTATCTATCTATCTATCTGTCTGTCTGTCTGTCTGTCTGTCTGTCTCTCTGTCTCTCTGTCTCTCTGTCTCTCTGTCTCTCTGTCTCTCTGTCTCTCTGTCTCTCTCTCTCTCTCTCTGTCTGTCTGTCTATCTATCTGGCTATCTGCAAGCTTGAAAACGAAACAATTCTGCGAGACTTCCTCAATTTTCGAAGTTGACAGCATCAAAAACGCAGAAATTCTGCGAGACTTCCTCAATTTTCGAAGTTGACAACATCAAAAACGAAACAATTCTGCGAGACATCCTTCAAGAATGGAAAGTTGAGTGCAGAGCTGACGGCCTCGTACCAAAGCGTTTTGCGATTTTTCCACTCCACCTGTCTAAAGTATTGCGCCTGCCACGAAAAAGTGATGCCAGGTCACACGAAGTGCTGCACCTGTCAACCAAAATCATCTCAGCAAACCTGAAGATTTGATGCTCCAAAATGCAACCCCTCTCAGGAAATCAGCGCCCGGACCTCCTAACCAGCTCTGATGAACATGTCTCTTCTATTGCGCCTGCCACGGAAAATGCATCTTTGCAGATCCTCTTCAGATGTCCCACGCCTGCCATCGTTTTTGGAAATGCCACAAAACCCTCACGTTTTGCTCACTTTTGACAAGGTGCACAATCCCTTGCGCCTGCCACGCGACACGACATCTGAACGTCCAAAAGTGGCGCGAACATGTGGTGCTTTGTACATGTTGACTTCGAAATGTGCTTCGCGCCACAACGGCGTGCACTTTTTCGACATCTCAACTTCCAAAAGTGGTCCGGAGCTGGTGTGCTTTGTATATTTTGACTTCGAAATGTGCTTCGCGCCACAACGGCGTGCACTTTTCAACGGCGCAACTTCTAAAAGTGCTCCGAAGCTGGTGTGCTTTGTACATTTTGACTTAGAAATGTGCTTCGCGCCACAACGGCGTGCACTTTTTCAACATCTCAACTTTCAAAAGCGGTCCGAACGTGAGGTGTTTTTAGTCTTTTCACTTGCAAATGTGCTTCGCGCCACAACGGCGTGCAATTTTTCATCTCTCATCTGCCCAGCGGGCTCCGCACCCGCCGCTTTAGCGAGCCTACTTTTCGACCCTCCGGAGTCACAAATCATTGGAAAAACACCGTGTTTCGCGGCCTTCCTACCTTTTCGTGCACCTGGATCTTCTTTCTTTTGAGACTTTCTCTTTTTTGATCTTCTTTCTTCTTCTCTTCTCTTCGCTGACTCTTCCCATCTCTGCTTTTCATCTGTCCATATGTCGGAAGTTTGACTTCTAAACTTCCTTCGATAAATTAAATAGACTATGATTGATTGGCTGGCCCTGTGTGCATGGAGGGCGCAGACAAAAGACTGACCCTGTGGACACACAAGTGGGATGCAATACGGACTTGCTTCTACATAATGTGGATTGCAGTTTGTTTGATGTCTTCTTTTTCTCTCGGTGCTTTCTTGCAATAGAACTGCGCCGCCCCCTCTGCCGCTCCAATACTATGACTAGGATGGCTCTCGTTAGGGGCCGCTCTCACCCAAGGTGTCTATTGCCGATGGAGATACCACTACGCTGGTGGACGGCGGGTTTGCAACGGAGTATTGCTTTGCACTCCATGCGTGTAAAATGTCTTGGGTGGTAGCTCTTTTGAAAGAGGTTCAGTTGAAACAGGACTTTAGTTCCAGGGGTCTAGTGCCGGCATTCTGCAGGCTATTAAGAATTTCAGACCCTACAGTGCTTGGTGAGGGGGCCTTGTACAGGTGCAAGATGTTTGAAATGTGGCCCCTGCCCCTGTACAGCTGCACCACTTGCGCCAGTGTGCATGATTACCATGTACTTTGGCAATTAGATGAATTGACCCTGGAGTCTCTCAATTGTACTTTGGAACTCCAGGATGAAACAGCTGGGTCGAACAGTTTTGATTTTTTGGGGGCTTTGGGACTGTTGTGCCCCGAAAGATCCAAACTGACCCAGAACTTGCTTTGCCAATTCACAAGTAGCAATCTCAGGGAGCGATCAGCCAACACCCACTGAGACCTGTCTCCATTCCAACTGAGGAAAAGCAGCAGGAAGATTCAGATGTGGCTCTAGAAGCACAACGTGAGCGAGAGGCATGGCCCAGTGGTAGGGCACGGCAGACTCATCTCGAATGAGAAACCCTCTCCATACATCCCAAACTATATTCCTGAAAGTTACATAGTATGGCTCAGGGTTTATAATTAGACAGCAATCTTCTCCAGGTCTTCAGGAAATGAGGTGATCTTTAGATTGGGACTAATTTGGGGTGGTGGGCATAGCAGCTAGTGCCGGAACTTCAATCAAAACCAGTGAATCGGACATTTGTTGGCCGTTTGCCAGCCAAGGCCTCAACAAGGTAGGAGTCTTTGTCATAGCCTGCATGCACACATTCAGACTTCAGCAGAACACCTCCTAAAGATATCAAGTACACATTTGCAGACATTCCGCTCATCACTACAGAGTGAAAGCATTGCGTGCTCAATTTTCACACCCTTGACAATGTCCTTGCGCTCTTGCTGCTTGTTTGCATTGGCTTTTTGGGAGGCACAGTTCCAAAGGAATCAAATGTGGACGGGTTTGATGGTGGACGGGTTTGGTGGCTTCACCAGGTCACCATAGAGTTTATTGTGGTTTTGTGGGAGGCTTTGCATAGTGACTTTGGGGAATCCAAATCAAAACAAGAAACATCCGGGTTTGTCCAAAAAGGGTAGGGCGACGTCCGTAAATTCCAAACAAGCAGCTAAAAGAATTCCCAATAGCTGCAGCTCTGCTTGGTCACGGCTGTGGCGAATTTCCTTACTGTAAGGTCTCCTGGCTTTGGCTTTGTCCACCAGCTGGGCAGAACCAGCCTTGCGTGGTGCGAGCGGGGGTGCCCGGAAGGTGAGGTGGTCTTGGTCAGCGTTGGCAGGGTTACCCAGAGACTCGTGTTTAATTTCCGGCGCACTGACACAGGAGTGACTTGAATGTGGCAGTCTGGCCTCTCTTGAGATGTTCTGCCCAAGGCTCTCAGGTCCAGAAGTCGTTATGACTGAATTGGTTCCATTGTCTTGGTTGCTCACAGGCACCCTGACAGCGTTTCTGGCTCTAGGCCTCCCATAATCCCCACTTCCTTCCAAGTACTAAGCCCCGAAGAGGTGGCCTTGGTCCGCTGTCTTGCCATGCCATGGAACCACACGAAGCAACATGCCGTACATCGCCTCAAAGCGGAGTGGTGGGATCCATACATTGCTACCCGGCAAAATCCAGGGGCACATGAGCAAGATGCCAACTACCCGACCCCAACCACACAGGCCTTGGGGATCTTGGGGATGGTGATGTTTGGCTGTAAGCCTGTGCCATTCTGGATGAACTAAAGGGATTAAACTGAATAAGTAGCAGTTTTTAAGAACCCTTAAGTTGTCATGCCATTAACGGCGTTATAGCATCGACTGGAAACACGCTCTGCAATTTGGATTGGAGTGTGTCCGCTTCACCTGTCCCCTGTTTCCACAGCTGATTTCGGGCGGTCCCGATTCAGTGCCACGTTTTTCTGTCCACCAAGGAGAAACAGCCTGTGTCACCCGCAGAAGGCGAGCTGCCCAACTACACAGGCCGGGTAACTGATCCACCACATGGATCCGCATGGGGGAAAGAGTTTGCAAATGCAAAATTCCAATAAAACCTTCTGTGTACAGTACTTGCTTGGGCAACTTCACATCAAGGGCAGATTCTTCAGGTGTTGGACAAAGATGAGGAGAATACAAAACACTAAGGCTTTATTCTGCTCAGAAATTCAATTTCTTTAGGACATTTGCCCATTTCTTTGCGCCAATGGGGCCATGTTTCGCGATTGCCCGTCTTCCATGGCAAACATGTTTGATTCTGCAGTGCGGTTATTTCCACTCTGCGCTTCCAGGGCACCATGTTTATGTTTAATTATGTTGATATGTTGCACGTTGCTTCTAGCTAGTCAGTGGGGTAGCCACCACACAATGCTCATGAGTCATGCTTTGTCACGGTGGCCTTTGCTTGTCATTCGCTGTTAGGTTGGCCAACTGCAGGGCCCTCAAGTGATGTGATGCTGCTGAAGACCCGTAGTTCCGCTGTGGCTGGCCATGTGGACTGGGTCGGCTGGACACGTGAGGCCTATCGGTCACCCAGCCGCAGCATTCCAAAGCGGCGGCTCTTCTCGCGCAGAGTGCCGCCCAATCGATGGCCGGGAGGGGAAGATTTTTGTTTTCCTTGATAATTTGAACATGTGTTGATATTTGTTTGTCCCAGCCACTTCCCCTGGATGTTCGGCGCAAAAAGATGACAGGCACCCATGGCTGAATTTCCCAGAGGGGCAGATTTGTCACGAAAGCAGTTGGCAGACTTACAAAGTGGTCTCTTCCCTGATCAGGTGTCAAAACTACGGTTACATTGGCACAGACGGCATTTTGCCTGCAATGGATCTCCGAGATATGAGTGTGTAGGTGATGAACCTGAAGTATGCTTTCTGTATAGGTCGCTTTCTGAATCTTAGCTACGCACAAAAAAACAAATTTTGAAAAAGGGCACCTCCACCCCTCATTTTTTCGGTTGATCGCAATGTTTCCATGATTGCTGCCCTTTTGATGGGGTCAATACAAAATGTTTTGACAAACCCCAATCATAATATTGCATCATAAATCAACAGTGTTGGTAAGGTCCCTTATATTGAATATCATTATATAACAACATGATAGTAAAATATAGTAAACACTGGTATTACATCATTAAAGTCAATGGCAATTTCCATATTTTTGCAGCCACCATATTCCCATCATAGGTAGGAAACTGAGGTCAAGTACATTGGCCCGAAGAAGGGGGTGCCTTGGTCGGTGCTGCTTGGCGCGGAAAAAGCGCCCCTGCACCATTGTCGACCCTTGGTGGAATGGCACCAGTTGGGGGGTCACCTTACAAAGTAACTGGTGAATAGCCTTGGTATACCTTAGCAAATCGAGCCCCAAAGTTCCATGTATGACTGGCTTTTCAGTCACCTTACGAAGCAATTACTGTATGGGATGATCCGATGATCCTCCAATTTCACTGAGCAGCGTTCAACAGCCACCAAGGTCCAGGATGGGAAGGCAACCGTGTGTTGCAACCTACGAAGTTCAAGGGCCCTCGGCAACTTGACCTCATGGCTCCACTCTACGACTACGGGAGCTATCAGTCTTGACACCAATTAACATGCATAGTCATCATAGAATATCATATATATATATATGTACATAGATATATAGATATATAGATATATAGATATATAGATATATGGATATGTATATGTATGTATGTATGTATGTACGTACGTACGTACGTATGTATGTATGTATGTATGTACAAATATATGTACGCCCTTATATAGTGCCTGTTCAATATCGTCCTCAAGGTGTTCAAACCACAGTACATGAATGAAAAGAAGGATCATGTTCATCCTCATCCACATGCCATCCTTATCAGCCATGCCATCATCATCGTTATAGCTATGGTCATGCGCATGTCTCTAGTCGCATCATTGACCTGATTGCCATCCTCATGTTAGAGATGGATACAGGACAGATGGTGTTTTTTCAAATTTTCAAGATCTTGCCCTCGTTTTGCGCATGTTCCTGTTTCTTTTCAGCTACCTGCCGTTCACCTCATCTATGATTGCCAGCAACTTGGAAGAGCAGTTGTCACCAGCCTTTGTTTTCGAATTGGCCAAGGCCTTGTATACTCCGCAGGCCCCTCCTCAGCCACATGCAGAGCCACTCCAATTCGATGCAGCCAACATTGGTGACCAGCAGAAGAGGGAGAGGCAGAACACAGCGATGGGGAAGTAGACTGCATTTGTTCGGATATTTGGGTGTAGTTGAACTTATCACTACTTTTACAAGGTCTCAGTGATTCTAGCCTTTGCTTGCACAGGGATGTCCAAACTGCTTACGGCCAGATTGGGCTCTGAAATAGCCCAGCAAGCAAATGTTCGACACAATGGAACAGGTAATGGGATGACAGTCAGCTTAATTTCTTTTACTTTAGGCTGGCTACTGAAATGTTGCCTGCATCCAGGCACGAAATATTGATGTGTAGTTGCGATCAGTGTTTACTTTGCACCATTAAGAACAAGATTCACAAGGATGAGTTCAAAATCTATTCAACTATGACATGCAATGTATTTCCTGGAAAGACCTGCGCCTGCGTCAAGCTTTAGTAGTAATTGAAAAAGGTGCAACACCTTTTGCTTCCACTCACTCCCAGGCTGGCAGAACGGCTCCTGGAAGGGGAGAGAGTTTGGGCTTTGCTGCGCTCAGCCTATTTGGCTGGTGCTGAGCTTGGTGACCAGGGAGCAGACAGGGCTGGCCATGGCCCTGCAAGTGCCAAAGCTGGCGATGCAAAGGACGAATCTGAGCAGCCAAGCAAGGAAGGCATCATGGGGGATGCGGGTTGGGTCAAGACAATCTCTACAGCATATCCTGTGGTCCTGTATTCACTGGTACCTTATCAGAATCTGCAATTGCTGAGAACCCTTCGTGATGTGTGTGTGGGTGTGCTATTGGTACTTGACCTCTGGGATTCGTTGTGACCACGCTTGGCGCGGCCTCATTTCATTTCGTTGACTCACTTGTGCCATCCTGCCCCAACTGTCAGGCTGGGGTTGCGACGCTCCTTTGCTCGAAGCTTCAATCACCGTGCGGGAAAAGTTACGAGCCCTGAGAGCAAAGACCGAAGCTTGATTGATTTGATTGCATAGCTCGCATAGGTGGTTCATTGGTTCCTTTTGAGATCTTTTGAGCCATGGCCTGGTACTGACTGATGTTTTCTGTTGTTGGTACTAAAGCTTCCAGATCATGACAAAGGAACAGGCGGGACAAGTCCTCCGAAAGCCTTGCCGCTCAGATAGCACATGGATGAGCATTGTAGCATTGGTGGAGGGGAGAGTTCTCTGCTGTCTTGTGTTTTTCCAATCTCTGTCAAACTGCTTGGGTGGTGTGGCGGAACTGCGGAACCAAATTTAGAACAAGAGCAGTGCATGAGAATGGCACGCAATGTGGGTAGAACAGATAGCGTTCACGAACACATCTGATTCACTATATACGTGGCACGATCCTTTGGGGCTGTAATTTGCAGTTCAACAAGAAGTAAGGCGAAACATCGCACGTGTTCTTCCGGGATATCATGGAATTGCAGTGAATGTCCCCAAAGCTTTCGCACCATCATCCTTGATTTTTGCTTTCGGCCTGAAGGTGTGGTTAGTTGACTGGTTCATCATTGTAAGTACTTGTGATTTCAATGCATGAGGTTTTCTACGCTTGCAGGTTTTGATTCTTACTAGCCATGTTCACCTGAGCGACCCTACTTGCGGCTAAGGTTTTTGTATCTCCAACGAAGTTGTAACTCCAGCATCCGTGGCTGTTGCAGCCAGCCTTTGACCTGAGATTTGATGCAAGTCGTTATTTGATCAACCTGGGCTCCGAGAAAGAGGACAGAATTATGGGCATCAAATTCTCCGACCCCCAGAGATTCTTCTGAAATAGGTTGCAAATGGTTGCAACTGTTTAACTAGACGACGGATGGCCCGAGAGCGTAGAGGAGCAAATTACTCAGGTGCAAGTAAAAACACAATGTAATGAATATGTAAGAAGTATGTGGTGTAAGTAGAAGAAAAGACAATGATAGCGGGATATAGTGGTGTTGACATGAAAGCTGAAAAGAGACATTGAAACATGTGTACAGATGCAGAATGACAGCAAGAAGAAAAAATTTGCAAGAGCAAGGCTGTATGAACGAGAAAGGGTAGTAGAAAGAGAGTGAGGAACGGAAAGAAAAGGTGGAGAAGATGTAAATGTGAAGATGTAACACAGACGCTTTTACACACAGACGCTTGGACACACAGACACTCTTACCCAGAAACCTTTTTACACACAGACACTTTTACATACAAACACCTTTGCACACGGGCGCTACACACAAACACTTTTACACACAGACGCTTTTACACACAGACGCTTTTACACAAGGACGCTTTTACACAGACACTTTGTGTGACACAGACGCTTTTACACATACACTTTTACACACAAATGCTTTTACACACAGCCTCCTTTACACACATACACTTTCACACACGTACGCTTTTACACACAGACACTTTTACACACAGCCGCTTTCACACACAGACGCTTTTACACACCAACACTTTTGCACACAGACGATTTCACACAGACGTTCTTACACACAAAGACTTTTGCACGCAAACACGTTTACACACAGACGCTTTTACACACATACACCTTTACACACACACACGCACTTTTACACAGAAACGCTTTTATACACAGACGCCTTTACACACAGACGAATTTACACACAGACCCTTTTACACACGGACGCCTTTTACACACAGACGCCTTTTACACACAGACGCCTTTTACACACAGACGCTTTTACACACAGACGCCTTTGCACACAGCCATTTTTACACGCGACGCCTTTACACACAGCCGCTTTTACACACAGACGCTTTTACACACAGACGCTTTTACACACAGACGCTTTTACACACAAATGCTTTTACACACAAACGCCTTTACACACAGACGCCTTTACACACAGACGCTTTTACACACAGACGCTTTTACACACAGACGCTTTTGCACACAGACACTTTTACACATAGCCGCTTTTACACACAGACGCTTTTGCACAGAGACGCTTTTCCACACAGACGCTTATACACACAGCACTTTCACACACAGACGCCTTTTACACAGACGCTTTTACACACAGACGCTTTTACACACAGACGCCTTTACACCCAAATGCTTTTACACAGACGCTTTTACACCCAAATGCTTTTACACAGGCGCTTTTACACACAGGTGCTTTTACACAAAGCCGCTTTTACACACAGCCGCTTTTACACAAAGACGCTTTTACACACAGACACTTTTACACAGACACCTTTACACACAGCCGCTTTTACACACAGCCATTTTTACACGCGACGCCTTTGCACACAGGCAGCTTTACACACAGCCGCTTTTACACACAGGCACGTTTACACACAGACGCCTTTACACCCAGCCGCTTTTACACAGACGCCTTCACACACAGCCGCTTTTGCACACAGACACTTTGACACACAGACACGTTTACACACAGATGCTTTTGCACACAGACGCTTTTACATACAAACACTTTTACACACAGACACGTTTACACACAAACACTTTTACACACAAACACTTTTACACAGAAACGCTTTTGCACACGAAACTTTGCCACACCGACGCTTTTGCACACAGACGCTTTTACGCACAGCCGCTTTCACACACAGACGCTTTTACACACCAACACTTTTACACACAGACGCTTTTACACAGACACTTTTACACACAGCCTCTTTTACACACAGCCTCTTTTACACACAGACGAATTTACACACAGATGCTTTTACACACAAAGACTTTTGCACACAAACACGTTTACACACAGACGCTTTTACACACAGACGCCTTTACACACAAATGCTTTTACACACAGACGCTTTTACACACAGGTGCTTTTACACATAGCCGCTTTTACACACAGCCGCTTTTACACACAGAAGCTTTTACACACTGACGCTTTTACGCACAGACGCTTTTCCACAGCAACACTTTTACACACAGACGCTTCTACACACACACACAGACGCTTTTACACACAGACGCTTTAGACACAGATGCCATTACACACCAACACTTGTACATAGCGTCGCTTTTACGCACAGCCGCTTTCACACACAGACGCTTTCGCACAGCAACACTTGAACACACAGACGCTTTTACACACAGACGCTTTTACACACACTGACACTTTTACACACAGACGCTTTTACACGCAGACGCTTTTACACACCAACACTTTTACACACAGGCGCTTTTACACAGCAATACTTTTACACAGATGCTTTTGACACACACAGACGCTTTTACACATACCTCAAAATTGCATTTTTGCCTTTGTTTTTGACGATCGACCCTCATTTCGTGCGAAAGGGTTGCGGGGGGGGGCCGTCAAGATCTCAATTTTACATCTAATTTTTGACGATCGACCATCATTTCGTGCGAAAAGGTTGCAGGAGAACTTTCGAAATCGCAAGTTAAAATCGCAATATTACTGCAGTTTTTGACGATCGACCCTCATTTCGTGCCAAAAGGTTGCGCGGGAACTCTCAAAATCGCAATTTCACCTCACTTTTGGACGATCAACCCTCATTTCGTGCGAAAGGGTTGCGTTTAGCGATCGTTCGTGGCCACCGCCCTCGCCATAAGAGAGAAGAGAAATTAGCAGACCAGAGAAGAAAGAGAGAAAGAGCGAGAGAGAGAGAGAGCGGGAGAGAGAGAGAGAGAGCGCGAGAGCGCGAGAGAGAGAGAGAGGAGAGAGGGAGGAGAGGAGAGGAGAGGAGAGGAGAGGAGAGGAGACGAGAGGAGACGAGAGGAGACGAGAGGAGAGGAGAGAGGGAGAGAGAGAGAGAGAGAGAAGAGAGAAGAGAAAAGAGAAAAGAGAAAAGAGAAAAGAGAAAAGAGAAAAGAGAAAAGAGAAAAGAGAAAAGAGAAAAGAGAAACGAGAAACGAGAAACGAGAAACGAGAAACGAGAAACCAGAAACCAGAAACGAGAAAAGAGAAAAGAGAAAAGAGAAAAGAGAAGAGGAAGAGAAGAGGAAGAGAAGAGGAAGAGAAGAGGAAGAGAAGAGAAGAGAAGAGGACGAGAAGAGATAGAGATAGAGAAGAGATAGAGAAGAGATAGAGAAGAGATAGAGAAGAGATAGAGAAGAGATAGAGAAGAGATAGAGAAGAGATAGAGAAGAGATAGAGAAGAGATAGAGAAGAGATAGAGAAGAGATAGAGAAGAGATAGAGAAGAGATAGAGAAGAGATAGAGACGAGATAGAGAAGAGATAGAGAAGATAGAGAAGAGATAGAGAAGAGATAGAGAAGAGATAGAGAAGAGATAGAGAAGAGATAGAGAAGAGATAGAGAAGAGATAGAGAAGAGATAGAGAAGAGATAGAGAAGAGATAGAGAAGAGATAGAGAAGAGATAGAGAAGAGATAGAGAGAGATAGAGAGATAGAGAGAGAGAGAGATAGAGAGAGATAGAGAGAGATAGAGAGAGAGAAGAGAAGAGAAGAGAAGAGAAGAGAAGAAAAGAGAAGAGAAGAGAAGAGACAGAGAGAGACAGAGAGAGAGATAGAGAGAGATAGGGCCAAGATGTGAAGATGTGGAGATGCAAAGATGTGAAAATGTAATGAAAACGTATTATCTCTCAGCTTCTTTTTTTGGGAGAACCCTACGCTCAGGCGCTCTCGGGAACAAAATGTTTAACATCTTAAATTTGATGTCCTGAGAACCGATGTCACTTGGTGAGTAATTGGAGTGGAGCTCAGTGCCAATTGGGTTGTCAATGCATTTGCCTGTTGCTGGGCTTGCAGTTGCTCATGCGACTTCGAGAAGTGGCAGCCAGGAGTCTTTTGACTGTCATCAAAGTGGTTTATACTCATTTTGAGTTGGCCTGTTGCCCTTTTCTGGTTTCCAATTGTGGGTGTAGACTCCACGTCCTGGCTCTGCGAAGAATTGTTTGGCTGAAATTCAATTGCATTCCACACGAGGCCAGCGGATGCTCGGAGGTTCAACCAGACTCATGGTGAAAAGGTTCTTACCCTATCCTCGGCATTCCTTAGGTGTCGTTTGACTTGAAACACCTTCTAAGTGTTCATGAATCAGCGTGCTTTTACCTACATTGCTATTTGCAAGATGCCTGTGTTTGGTGATGCCTTATTGCAAGTATATGCCATGTGAGGTCATTGAGTGTGCATACACATTGCGCAAGCATACATTATATAATTATATAATAGATGTGTATCCGTATACATATTATATATATATACATGTATTGCATATACGTATCCAAACCTTGTACGTTGGTTCGCTCTAACACCAGTTGCTCCGTGCGAGTGATATTTTCCTTGCATGTTTTTTGTATCAACCTACTTCGTGCGCGTGCTTTGTGGGAGTATGCTGTTTGCACGTGAGAAAGTGCAAGCTCCTTGCAGGGATGCTGCCCAGAAAATTCCTCCTTGGAAGGGGACTTGTTCTGTGCAAGTGTGACTATGAGCGAGTCGACATGTCATGAGTTCCCGCATCCGTTGGCCAGAGCAAGTCCGTTGGCCAGAGCAAGTGACCACCTTGGCCAGAGCGAAAGTGCATGTGCCTTGCTACTGTGGATGCCACAACTTTGTTTTGCTGTCCAAGTCAAGTGGTGGGCATTAGTTTCTTGAAGAGAACAAAAAGAGAGACTTACAGCACCACCTGGGGAACCAAACGTGTTTGGCAATTGGCCGCTGAGGTGTTGAAATATTTGCCTATGAGCTCCTTGGAAAGTGTGGAGAGGGGATGTTGGCGTGCAATGTGGTTGTTTCTAACTTGCTTTCACGGCAAGTTAACGACACCACACAAAAGGCAAGGTAGAACAATTATATTTGGAACCCTGCAAGTATCAGTATGCATGCAGGACCATGGAGGGGCCATGGGGTGTGTGCGTAGATGAGGTTCTCCATATTGCTTCGACTGGGAGAGCTAATGCAGTTTGAGATTGGCATGTGGCGGTGAATAGTTGTTCTGAAGCTCTCAACATGGGCAACACCTTCTCGTTCCAAAGTCATACAGGTAACCAGACTCAGCAAGCCTCGCACATGATTAAATTCCGTGCTTGGTATTCACGCATACCGGAGCACATGCCAACAGCACGCCATCACAGACTTTCAATGCTTGGAATATTGCCAGAGCACCTGAAGACAGATGGTGTATCCCATATCAAGAGGTTCTTCCCATTTTGCAGGCAAGATACAAATGGATACACATGCATGGGCACATGGGTCAATTATCTCAGATAAAGATCTTGGATTCTAGGCCAAGAAACCAGGGATGCAATAGATACGGCATGGGGTTTTAAAAAAGTAAGGCATCAAAAAATAGGTATTTACTGCTTCAATCAAAAAATATGCAAAGGATAAAAAAACAATATTCATCCTTCCTGCACGGGTGCAGTGTTTTATTTGAATCTCCCGGTCCTCTGGTCCCTTGGTCCTTTGGTCCCCTGGTCCACTGGTCCCTTGCTCCTCTGGTCCCTTGGTCCTTCCGTCCTTTGGTGGGTCTAGTGCCTTAAAGCATTCTTAGCGTTAATTAAACTATATACATTTATATGTATATAGGCCCCAAACGAAACCTAAATCAACCGTAAAACCAACCTCAAACAAGCATTGAACCAATCCCATGTGGGCCCAAGCCACCCTAAAGAAACCATAAGCCAACCCAAATAAGCCCTAAATAACACCTAAGCAAACCACAAACCAACCCGAACTAAATATATCTTAAACGAACCCTAGCTGAACCACAACCACCCCTACATAATTCCTAAACCAACCCTGGGTTCAACCCTAAACTAACCCTAAACCAGCCGAAATAAATCATTAAAGCAACCCTAACAAGGCGGCAATCAACACCTACATAAACCTTAAGCCGACCCAAAAAATCCCCAAGCCAACCCTGAACCAACCCCAAATACATCCTGAACTAACCCTAAATAAATCGTGAACTGCACCTACGCAAGTCTTACACCAACCCTAAGCTAATCTTAAAACCAACCCTGCATAAACCCCAAACAACTTTTAAACAAACCACAAGCCAACCCTAAATTGGCCTTGAACAAACCCTAAACCAACCCTCAATAAACCAAACACCAACCTGCAATAAGCCTTAAACGAAACCTACATCAACAAATCTTAGAGTCTTAGTCGAAACTTAAACCGGTAAGTCTTAAACAGAACCTAAATAGATCCTAAACCAACCCTACATAAACCCTAAACCAACTCTAATTAAACCGCAAACAAACACTAAACCAACCTTATAAAAATATGACTTGAACGAATCCTAAATAAACCCTTTACCAACCGACCAACCCTAAATAGATTTCAAACAACACCTAGTAAACCATAGGCCAACCTTAAACAAACCCTCAACAATCCCTACATCAATTGTAATAGACTTTGGGCTCTAAACCAACTTTAAACGGACCCCAAACCAAGCCTCAATCAACCCTACACCCACCCATGAATAAATTTTAACTCAACCCTAAATAAACCCAAATAACATCTAAATAACGCATACACCAACCCTAAATATGCCCGAAATCCCCTAAACCAACCGTAAATTTAAACAACTTTCAACCAACCTTGAATAAACCCCAAACCAACCTTCAATAACCTTGAACCAATTTTAAACAAGTTTGTAACACAAACCATCGAAAATGAGAGGTTCAAACTCCAAAGTGTTGTAATACTGTCGAAACAGGAGCGTCGAGCTCCAAAATGTTCACGGAAATGTTAACAACAGATGCAAATGCGTGATTTCCAGGTCCAATGTCTTGCAAAAACCTCACCGGCGAGAGGTTCCACTTCCAAAACGCTGCAGATACCACAGAAGGGTCTCCAAACTGTTGCAAAGGCCATTGAAAACGAAGGGGTCCAGGGGAATATTTGCTTGATGCCTCAGGGCGGATGCAGACAACATCACCAATGAGAATGAGACCGAGGACGTTCCTCAGCAGCGATTCATCATTCATGATATCCCTTCATGTGTCTGGCTGGGAGGGCCTGGGGCATTTGACAAGAACACATCGCTTGCAAGGAGCTATTGAAAAACTTAATAGAGTGCAGCAGGTAGCGGCTAGCAAATTTACTCACGGGGTGAGGGACTGTTTGGGCGGACCATTTCCGCCGCCGTTTCAGCTGCTGCAAAAGCCCGTGATTGCCACGTTTGTCCTTTTCACTTCGTCCTTCCAACAACATGGCCGTGCGACCTGAGTCTGTGGAAGATTGGTGCATCTCGGCTGTCAAACTTCAACTTTCCAGCCCCTCCCCCCAAATCAAGATAAAGAGGTGGCACCCCATGAGGCGCCAGCCGCACATGGAAGAGAGCAGGACGCATCAGGATCCTCATTGCTGTTTCATGTGCCCTTGTACGCTGTGCATGCTCAGCTCAACTGAGGCCAAATAATGCCCAACTTGTTGGAGGACAACTTCGGGAGCAAGGGAAAGCGTTCACTTACACGGCGGACTTGCTGTAGATAAATATTATTTATTATTTTTGACTTGAAATCTGTGAGACCCAAGAAGCAGCTAGCAGATTAACAGTGGGCCATTGACTTTCCACCGGTTCCCCTTTATAGCAGACGCAGCGCAGCAGCAAACCCTGTCCAGCCGGAAGAAAGGGTATAGAGGGATTAATCGGAAGGTAGCTAGATAGAGAGGCGGACAGACAGAGACAGAGACACAGACAGAGACAGAGACACAGACAGAGACACAGACAGAGACAGCCAGCCAGGCAGACACACAGACACACAGACACACAGATGGATTGATATATAGATAATGTGCACATGTATGCGCGTTGATTTGACGGATGGGTGAGCTTATTGACTGATTGATTGACTGACAAATCGATAAAGATGTAGATTACGCTAGATAAAGAATAGAGTAAAGCTGATTCGTTTTGATCGGGTCAGACAGATCAATGATAGATGTATGATGTATAGATAGATATGGGTGGGCGGCTGGTAAATAGATAGATCAATGGATGAATAGATCACAATTAGATAGATCATGATAGATCGATTGGATGGATAGACTAGGCCAGCTGACCAGCTGCATGAGTTTGGCCACGAGGAGGAAGGCTGGAAAACGGCTTTGGCCCAAGAAGGTTCTGCGTTGATGCATAGCAGCTGTCCTTGGGGTGGCCGCTCGTCCCCAACTTGCAACAAACATGGAAAATTTGGGCTAACATTCAGGCACTCCCATCGTCTCCCGTATGTGGCGAGATGGTTTCGGCAATCTCGGCCTGTCTATGGGGCAGATGTGATTTCTGTTGCATGGTTTAAGTTCAATAGTTCACAAGGTCAGTACTCAGTCCCCTTTTTTTGGTTGCCAATGCAATGATCGTTAAAGGCGACAGTGTGATGAGCCTAATAGGCACTTTCAAGTAGAAAACACGGGCACAATGTACACGCGTGCCCTGACCATTTGTCATGATCTCACATTGTCACCCTTCAGACCATGTTTCCACAGGTTACCTGATCAAATTTGAGCTGAAGGGGCTTACAGTGCACAATGCCCCTGCAGACAGTAGCAACCTGGCAATTCAAAAGGGGCAGCATCGAAGTTGAGGGAACGGGGTGGTCGTTGATGTGTGGTTTGTTCCGGCCCTTTGCCTTTGCCGCATGCGCATCAGCATTCTCGGGCACAGGCAAGGTGATTGTCCGACCTGAAGTCCGAGCTCTCCTGCAAGGCTAGGGATCGTTTGGTTCATGGCATCCTCTTGAATGATTCTAAGTCAAAGGGCCATGGCATGCCCAGTGCTTGCACAACATGAGTCTTGGCGTCAGCATGAGTCACGCCTTGCAATGACAAAAACGTACACTCAGGTGTTGCTTGCAATCCTACTAGTGTGGTTTCATGTGCGTTTATGTGGCGCGTTTTGTGGCTGCAGTGATTTGCAACCGCTGGCATTGCCATTTACGACAGGGCTTCGTCACGGGTTTCATTTGTGCCTGCTGATCCTGGGGACGTTTCCCATGCAAATTTTGCCGAGGCACATGCCCCATCCCAGGCATCAGCGTACAGTCCTTGGACGTCATGGCTCCTGGAGAGGCGGGTACGTACTGCCAAACCGACCCAACGTCTTGGGGAGGGGACCTTGCTCTCCTATCCAACAGAACCCGATGTTTGACATTGTCGTTAGGGGAAATCATGTGTTTTGAAGGCTTCCCTAAAATTGTGGAACTAGCTCGGCTTGCGTCACCTTTTTTAAACCATTGAGTCTTTGATTCTTTGATCGCGAATGACTTTTGTTTTACACTGTGCTTGCTTGCCGTGAAGAGTGGGTAATTTCATAAGAAACAAGGCAGGTTGTAGCTCTGCTTCTTCCACGTCAGGCTGTGGTTCAGGCGTCCACCTCTTGGAGCATCATGCGGCTTTGCTCCGTGTTGTTCGGTGACATGGTTGGGCAAGTCATGGATTACCTCTGCGATGACGCGCCCATGGCATGGCATCAGAAAGTGGGCCGAAACTATCCAAACCAAGGTGGGGACCTTGAGCCTGTTCGTTTTTTTTTCCCATGGGATATCTTGGGATAGGTGACGTTAGGAACGTCTGCAATCGTGCCCAGGTGATAGCTCTTGCTCCTTCTGGATGGAAGATTCCAATGACAAGCCGCACGAATGCCTTATCCTTGTCAGACCCGAGACTGCAACGGAAAAGTTCACTGCCTTTGTCATCTTTGACTTGCCAAGAGATGTACTTTTTGAATCGTTTTGCGCGTGTGGATCCGTGTTAAAATTTCTTTCTTTCCACCACCAACATCAATAATATCTTTAAAAAATGTTTCATGGCAAGACCTTATCCCACATTTGACGTGTTCTGCAACCTGACTTGCGGTGATGAGTGCAGGTAATTGTGAGGGTCCATGAAAATCATTTCGCACGGTGGGCCAGTGAACATTTTCGCTCTGTCTTGAGTTCTGCGCGTAGCACCTTGGCGGTAAAATTGCTCACGAAGCCGGCATTCTGCTGAGGCTGCTCAGGTATTCCAACGGTATTCCCCATTCAACATTTTGAGGGCTAAACTGCTAGACTTATTGGTGGCTTGCAGGCAGTGGAATTTCTCTTGTGGAATTACCAGACTTTGTTGGATCAGGCACTGCGGAGTCATACTTGAATCGCCCCGGAATTGTTGAGCTGAGAGAAATGGATGAGCAGTTCTATGTGGCTTGGCCATAGCAAACAAAATGAAGAAAAGTCTCCGACTGGCAAGCCAAATCCTTTGCTACAGTCTTTAGATGGATAGATGGGCCCTTTGTGTTTACGACTATTTCTCAAATTTGAAACCGCCAACCATGCGTTTTGCTGAAGACTTGTTTATAAAATTTATAGCAACTCTCAAAAATATAGTAAAGTTGGAGAGCTGGAAATTATAAGGAAAACATAATTTATACCATACTGGAAGTACATACTTTTCTGGGGGTTACTGGGTTTCCTATATATAAGTAATTTTCAGCCTGGCCAAGTGGTGTTTTTTGATATGGTGTGTTTCCAGTGTCTCTTAATCACCACGCAAGAACATGACTGCTCAGCTTCCGACCCAGTGCTTAAGGTGGTCATCTCTATGCAAAGCTTTAAGCGAGGGATGCCACTGCTGCCGGCCTATCCTGATGAGCATTGCCTCACCGAGATTGATGCAGGTGAGCGCTTTGGCTTGCGCAGGTGGGTACGGTATGAGCCACGCAGCACGAAGTTCCAACTGGCTCAGTACCTTCCAGTCTTCATGGAACGTGTCTTGGCTTGCCCAGGTGTGCACAGATTTTGTTCTATGAGTGGCCAATACTTGTCCCTATGCCATGCGTCATGCCCAACTATGCTTTCCCAACTGCAAGCGGAGAGTATGACATGAAGCTTGTGTCAGCCATCTTGCAAAATTGAGGTTTGGGTTTCGAGATTGGAGCCTATAACAGCTTGGACGGTGACGAGGTTTCAAAAGGAATGTATTTGTTGGTGCCTGTCGGCGCGTGTGTGGACGAAATCCTGTGTGGTTTCTTACACGACCAATTTGGCAGTTGCCAGGACTTCATCTCCGTCTAGCTGCTGACAAAAGCATGTGAATCTGACCTCCATTGTTTTGCTGTTGATACTTCAAGAGTGTGGTGATCGCATGGTAGGCAACAGAGACGGCTTGAAACAGTCAGCTTGATACAACTTGTCCCACTTTTGGAAACCAAGGCCAGAAGTTGGTTCCTTATCAGTGTGTGGTGCGTCGTGCCGACTGGGAGCAGATGCGTTCACGTTTTCTCGAGGACGCGGGTAAAGTTTGGGGCCCAACATGTTTGCCCATGGCTGCGCTGGTGTGCATTGTTGGCTGGTGAGTTGACTTCGGCATTTGGAGGTGTAAGAAGGGGGTTCTCCACCAAGGCTGCAGCAGATTTTTCAGAAGTTCAAGCCAGATGCAACCAGAGAGATTTGTCACCAAAGCTCACCATACTTGGGGTGTAGGATGGGAAGGGCTTTGGTCCATTTCTTCAAGTGGGAAGTTTGTGACGGCAATAAAATCAGCCGTTGGGATGAAGCCATCACAGCCCTTCCCCATTTCCACACCTTGAAACATATGCAGGCCTACCCCTTGCAGAAGACCGCCTATCGTCGTGCCAATGGTGGCTCTGGCTCCCCAGGGGTACACGAGGACGTGCTTCCCAAGTTTGTGACCTCCACGGCCTTGAACATCCAGGAACGTATGGACCAAGAGGCATGGCCAAAGCTGGTGGTGCGGAAGACTTTCTTGGATTTGGAGGACTGAACGGGTTGGATCCCAGCCCGTACGATTCAAGTGTTCAGGGCCATGAGAATCTAGGATTGCTACAAGAAGCACAGTTATCCCACAGCAATGACGGGCCAGCAAGCTTACAGAATCTCGCAGCAAGCACAGGAGGATGACACCTCCTCCAATGGCTCCCCGAAAGTACGTCCTCCGCGCCGCCCAAAGACCACACACTTTGGGCGACTTCTCGTGCCATCTTTACCATAAGCTGAAGGCAGCCAAATGGCGCACAAGAAGGCAGCCTCCACCTGTTCATCCCTTGCAGCCAGCGTTCACACACCAAAAGCATGAAGATGATATGCGCATTGTGAAGTCTAAAGGCTGGTATTGTAGGTGTGCATTTGTGTTCGTTTCATTCGGAAAGAGATGAACAAGCAAGGTGGGCAGGCACTAGGTAGACGATATCATAGGTGGAGGTGGACAGTCTAGATGGAGCCACCTACATCTATTGCAAGGATGCGGAATGTGGCACTTGCAGTTGTAAAGTGTGTAAAGATAAACCCTGCAGCGGCTCACGAAGGGCACCTGTCACATGCAATGGTCAGGTGTGGTGCCTTAATTCATTGATTCGGCGTGAGTTACGACTTCTTGCATCCGGCCGGATGCGTTTATGTGCAAGTTACCATCATTCACTTTAATTCGTGTCGTTCAAACGTTCGCACCCAAGCACCACGTGCCAGACTGTACAGATGCTGGGCATGTTGGGCACTGGGCAACTTCTTTTCTCCATAAACATCATCAAGAAGCAGCCCGTCAGTGCAGTAAAGAGTACAGAGGGCGTTGTATCCCTGGTGATGTGTGAGAACCCATGCCACTTCAGCGACAGGGGAATTCATTGAGAATCATTCACCGCACTGTTCAAATCTTTTCACCTGCTCACATGGCGCCACAGGATCCCATTCCCAGTTTCCTTGAAGAGCCTAGTTTCGGGCCAGGGTTCTTTGTTTCATGCCATTCTATCTTTATTTTGGTTCATGCCACAAAGGCCTCTCTAGTGCAGTTCTTTGTGATAGCTATGGAGGAATGGGGGTTACACCTGCGTTACACCTACATATATAAACATAAACTACATTATATAATGTAACTATTATACAAACTCCAAATCACTACCCTCTTGGCGCCCCTGACCCCCCCCGGGGGGTAAAAAATGTAACATACATTATTACATTTTTTTACCCCCCCTAGAAATATAGGGGTTTGGGGGGGGTAAAAAATGTAACATGGGCATTGCACGGGGGTACACCTGCCATGTTACATTTTCCAAGCCTTCCCCCCATGAACAGCCACGGAAATACTTTTGGGGGGGGGGACCCTAGGGGGTAGAAATTGTAACATATCTCCGTGAGGTACCCAAAAAATATATGTTACTTTTTTGGGTCCCCCCCCCCATCACCCCCCTATAGCTCTACATAGCCCTACCATAACCTACATTAACCTATCATATCTTCCCCATTCATCCCCATTCTACATTCTGAATCATTCTGATATATTCTGATATTATGTTTGATTCTAATGCCAATGTTTGGACATTTTTGGACCATTGCTATTTTTTGGGAAATATATCAAACACCCAAAAAAATGTAACATACATTTTTCAGGTTGGGAAGTCGGATCTCGTGATTCTTTATTCAAACCACCCAAAAAATGTAGCATACATTTTTGAGGTTTATCTTTACAAATTTGATTTATAAATTTGTTTACCCAGCCTAAAAATGTAATGTAACATTTTTACGTTTACTTCATGAATTTGGGTAAAACAACCTACATATATGTGGATATATGCGGTATATAGCCAGGGTCCCTAAACCCTGCATAATGGCACTCCAAAAATGTATGTTACATTTTTTACCCCCCGGGGGGGTAAGACGGTCGTGATAACTCCAAATTTATTTTAAACGTATATATTATATATTGGTACCTGCATTAGATATGGTTATTTTGGTTAAACTTGATCAAAGCAGGTGTGTTTTTCCCTGTCCACATTCAGTGCCTGCGTCTCGCATCTGACGAGACTCTGGAAGACAAAAGTTGCGCCGTACGAAACTGCTCCTGAAAAGTTGCTCATTGTTTATAGCAATCGAAGTAGCTGCTGGATCAAACATCTCTCGCTCTTGCACTTTCTACATTCAATGAAACTGGCAGCTTCAGTTTCACCATTGACAGTTTTGTTGGGCCTAGTGGAATTGCATTAGTTTGGCACAGTCCACCGCAAGGGGCTGCACTGCACCTTGGAGAGCTCTTGCCTCGATCTAAGGATGTGGAGGGCATGGACAACGCTCTGGAATCTGCACCATCCGCAGCTAGCCGACCAGGGATGCCACCCTTGTCACCGATGAGGGCCATCGCCTACGGCGCGTTGCCCTGCGCCCTGCCCATCGCCACTTAGATGAAGCGGAGCTGAAGAGGTTGGTAAGAGGCCTTGTCCAAGACACCTGTGATCTCTAAATTGGGTCGTTTGTCCCTCCAGCTTGATCTAACGAATCCAACGCGGCTTTGTGCTAGTCTTCGCAGTTGACACCTTCACTGGCCGGGAAAAGATGGTAGGATGCAACTCTATGCACCCGATTGGTCTTGGCCGAGCATCGGCTGTCAATCTTACAAGTTCACCTGTAACTTGTACCGCCCCCTCGGCAGTGAGGCCGCGGAGTGGGCACCAGAGATGATGTCGTGCAACGTTGTTGGCTTGCCTTCGGAGGCTTTGGCATACCCGATGTGTAGAAGCTCAGGTGTGATGCAAACCTGTTGAGAGTTAGATGAATTTACATGATATAGCGCCGGGTTTCAACATGTGCCTGACCTCATTGGAGCCCAACCCACATTGTGAAGTATAGTTGAAATCCAGCCCTGCAGCTTGCAGCAGGATATGATGCAAGATGGATATGAAGCTCAGTGGGGCCCTTTGGGACGCAACGACCTGGGGTTAATGAAGGTTGGCACCTTGGGAAGAAGCTGAAAGGGAGCGCCGCAAAGTGAGGTAGCTTAGGGGCCCAAACCCTTCCCAAAAGTGTGCCTGAACTCCCATGGGATAGGCATTCGTTGCTTTGTACCAATGCGATTTTTGAAAGCCTGCTTTGCTGTGCAACCCACAGCAACCATTAGGACGAGGGTGTGAGCGACAGTTTTGAGCAAGTGGTTTTACTTCATCCTTTGCGCGTTCTCACAATGCTGTATCATAGCACTTGCACACCGTGCACCTTGCACCATGGATGCCACCAGTCATTGCGAGCCGAATTTCTGTTGTGTTTTTCTGTCGTGCCACATCATGGGTGCTCAACTGTGGTCTTGTTCGCAGTCACTGGGTGGCAACGCTGTCCGGCTGTATCACTCCCTTGGACTGCCTGGGTTGCAGCTGTGAATTTGGAACTAGTTGCAACTAATTGCACAAGCTTTTCGCACTTGCAGCAGCCAAACTGCTGGACGGATGATCACAGTTGCATTTAGCTCTTTTTTTATCTACAGTATCCACAGTTGCTTCTTGCGTGGCGAAGCACCAAAGCTTTTTCAATCTATTTGCTAGGACTGGGCGGCAAGGGCTCCCACAAAGGCTTCCTGGATCGGGCAAACAAGCTGCGAATCAACGTCATGCCAGGTGCCGCAAACCGTTCAAACCATTGTATAGTTGCATACTGCCTGCGTGGGGGGCGGAGTTGCAGTACTCCCAGGAAATTAGTTTTTTCACCAGCATGAGTCAGTGGTCAGTGACCTTTCCTTCTGTCATTGTTTGATCAAAATCTTGGGAGCGAAAGGATTCCACAGCACCGAGCCTGCCCTGTGCAACAATTTCGATTGCTTCGAAGCTTGGAAGACTGCAGCTGCCACAGGCTTCAAACAAGGCTTGGTCGGCATGGAACCAACAAATCAGTGCAGACCGCTTGGCTGCGAATGCTCTAGCTGGCTATGTTCTAGATTGTGGTAAGTCACCCCAGTGCTTGTGATATTTCGAAATTCCCATTGTTTGGCAATTGGACACAGAAAACGTCCACATAGGCCGGCTCTGGAGTAGGACTTAGGCCGGCAAAATGGCTTGCACGTGTATTGATCTCCACCCTTTTACTGACAGATTTCAAATTGTTGTTGCCGCTGGTTTGGGGAGGTTTCCAAGTGGAAGATGGATGGCACCCAGCAGTGTCTACTGTGACCACGACGGCAGCAATTTGTTATCAGTCATTTTAAAGTCTGGTTTGGCTTTCTCCCCTTTATATTTTGGGAAGCTGTTGGCTCAGGGGTCCGATTGTGGTGGGACTGAACTTACTCGGGAGGCACGGTTTGTTTACAAGAGAAGAGGCGGCTGTTTGGTTGCAGCGCTGTCTGCCGCATTGGGGATGGCATTCAGTATCCCCCTTCCGTGGTGTGATTTTGATAGATTTTGCATGTTGTCTCACGCATTTGATGCGGCCCCCCAGATGGGCTGCCGTGCCCATTGCAAAATTTTCACCAAAGGCTAAGCTTTAGCAAGCTTGAGCCATGTGATCTTGTGATCATGTGATCATGTCAATAGCACTGTACCTGCGGTTATATATGTTACTGTATATGCACGCGTTGGGCGTCGCAATGGTTGGTCCCAGATGAAGAAGAAGGAATTTTGCCCCATATGCGCCCCCCAAAGGACGAAATGATTGCTGTTTCTGCAAATTGCTCAGAAGCGGAACTCTAATCCATTGTTGTGGATTGGGTGTGGCATCACCATGCCCGTGGTGCTGAGGTGATTTTGATGAACGAGCCAGACTTTTGGGAGAATGACCCCCTGTGCACTGATCAAGGCGAGGGCACCGCGTGGTCCCCATGCAACTGCCAAAGGCTTTTCAACAAATCCTTTCTCTTCGAGTGACCCCCACCAACTGACATTCTATCTGACATATTCTGACATTCTATCTGGCATTCTGTCTGAAATGTATGCTGGCATTTTTTTGCATCCTACCCAACATATTCTATTTGACATTTACCTGGCTTTTATCTGACATATGTTTGGGCATTCCATCTAACATTTTACCTGTCATTCTGTCTGACGTTTCATCTGACATTCTTTCTGGCACCTGAGCTGGCATTCTAACTGGCATGTTCTCTGACATTCCATCTGGCATTCTGTCTGACCTTTCATATGGGATTCCACCTGACATTCTATCTGACATCCTTTCTGTATTTTCTGACATTCTATTTGAGTCTGAGATTCCAAGCGGCTTACTATCTGACATTCCATCTGGCATTCTAGGTGACATTTGATCTGGCATGCTACTTGGCATTTCATCTGGGGCTCTACCTGACATTAATCCGGCATCCTTTCTGGCATTCTATTTGGCATACATTCTGACATTCATTTGGCATTCTATTCTATTTACAATTATATATTTATAGGTACACATATCTCCGCATTCTATCTTGCATTTTATCTGGCATTCTATTTGACAAATAGTTTGGCATTCTTCCTGACATGTACTGACTGAGCTGGAGCCCGCGATAGGGTTCGGACCCGTGCATGCCCAGACTGTACTAGAGCTCGCCATGAGCTTCTGGAGCATGCTTGCTATGACATCCGGGCCCCTTGGTGCCCGCAATGGGGACAACATGGCACAAGGACGGAAGGAAGGAAAGAAGGAAAGAAAGAGGAGCGAAGGAAAGCAGGAGCTGCACCTTTGACAAAATCTAGAGACCCTCACCTGGCAGGTCGGGGAAAATGCTGAGCTTCTTCACAGTGATGTCAATCACATTTTCAATTTTGGAACACATCCAAGGGCCCTGGCACATCATCTCATTTCTTGGATGTTAGCGGCAAGGGGTGAGCATTTGTTTCGGTCGGCTTCGATAGCAGGTGCATGGTGTCGCGTGAAGGCCGTAATTAGCGCTCTCGATGGCGTGTTGGCAGCCGAGGAAGAAGCCAAGATCAGCGCAGGTCTTGAAATGCCGGGAAGGGCATTGTTGGACAGTCAAGGAAGCAGCTTGCAATCCAAGTCACATTTCTTACAAGCCAGATCGTCTTTCTGTTAGCCCTTGGCTGTGCATTTGCTTATGCCTCGGCCTCTTTTAGAGGGAAAGATATACAGCATCATAAGAGCATGTAAGAGCCATTGGCGCCTGACCTGGCACAAGGTGATGTGAAGCTCACTGTTACTTGGTGCCTTGCGCAGCAACTTCAAGGAAACCGTAGCAGAGCGGTTGTGGGCATGGTGAGGTTAGCCATGGGGGGTGGCTGTCCATTGTGTGCAGATGTGCGGCTGGGAATGTGGGGACGTGCAAGAAGTCACGGACGCCAATATAAGGGAAACGGCAAGGTACTGCAAGTTGATAAGGTGGGGGACATCATTAATATCAACCATACTTTTTTGTCACGGTTTGATTTGATTTCTGGTAAGCCATCAACCATCGCCACCCTCCCTTTAATGTACCAGGTTTTTAGGAATCCCCAACAGATTCCACGCCGAAGCTTTGCTGCGAAGCTCTCCTACTTTTCTGCGCGCATTTCCGCCGGAAAACAATTGTTCAGGAATCAAAAAAAATTGACACGCAGGGACGCACAAAGCCCACAACTTCAACGCCGAGTAGTTCAGTAAGATCTAGAAGCCTTCCTCCAGGCACCTTGCTTCCTACAGAGCTGGCTCCTGCAGTTAAAACCTGCTGTCGCATTTTTGCAAGGGTATCAAATACCAAGACCGATGTGATTTCAGCTTCTTTCTTCTCCATCTTCGCGCCGCTGCAACAGATTGACATTAATACTAACACGTCAGGGCCGGATCGCTTGGAAGTTGAGCCGTACAGGAACTGCACGCAGCTGTGGCGCCAATGTCGAAGTCAAAACACCTGAGGGTCGGAGCGCTCTTGGAAGTTGAGCCATTGAAAAAGTGCACACGGCTGCAGCGCCAAGCACATGTCGAAGTCGAAATGCTAGAACCGCGGCACGTTCGTACCACTTTTCAACTTTCAAAGGTAATTTTTCGCGGCGGGGACCATGGATATTCTGCACTTTCACAAAAGCAAGCAAAACGTTGCAAGACTTTTAAGAAAGATGGCGTCGGACGATTCAACAGGCTCTAAAAAGATGTAGTTGGCATGGCAGGCGCAGTACAAGAGACGCTTCCGTCAGACATGTTAGGAGGTCACGGCGCTCATTTCCTGAAGGGGTTGCATTTTGGAGCTTCTGATTGTCAGATTCGCTAAGATGATTTTCCATGACAGGTGCGGCACTTTGAATGACCTGGCCGCACTTTTTTGTGGCAGGCACACTGCTTCAGATAAACGGGATGGGAAAATCGGAAGACGCAATGGTACGGGGGCATCACTTTTGTAGGAAGTCTCGCAGAATTGCTTCGGTTTTACATATTCAACTTGCAAGTTTGCAGGAAGTCTCGTAGACTTCGTTCTTTAGCATCTTCAACGCGCATTTTTGCAGGAAGTTGTGTACTTGCAATTTCATAGGAAGCCTCGCAGAGTTGCTTTCTTTTTGCGTCTTCAAGTTGCAAATTCGCAGGAAGTCTCACAGACCTGTTTCATTTTTACATCCTCGGCTGGCAATTTAGCAGGAAGTCTCACAGATATGTTGTCGTGTCTTGATGAAAAGAAAGATAGACAGAACGATAGACAGAAAGATAGGCAGACCAGGCAGACACACAGATAGATAGAGAGTGATGTGGGCAGACAGGTCGACAGATGAATCGAGAGACATTTGGACAAACAGATAGATGGACAAGACGCGCAGAGGGACAGATTTAGACAGATAGCTAGCTAGACAGATAGGTAGGTACATGGACGCATGGATCAATCAAGAGACAGGTAGCACAGACAGAGAGATAGACACGTAGACAGATAGACACATCATCGATGGAAAGATTAATGGATAGAAAGAGGCAGAATTGATATATAATTGTATCAAAAACTAAATAGAAAGTTCAATGGATAGATGGACAGATGGATGGATGGATCGATAGATAGATAGATACACAGATACACAGATACACAGATAGATAGATAGATAGATAGATGGATAGATGGATAGATGGATAGATGGATAGATGGATAGATGGATAGATGGATAGATGGATAGATAGATAGATACACAGATACACAGATACACAGATACACAGATACACAGATACACAGATACACAGATACACAGATGCACAGATGCACAGATGCACAGATGCACAGATGCACAGATACACGGATACACGGATACACAGATACACAGATAGATAGATGGATGGATGGATGGATAGATAGATAGATGGATAGATAGAGAGAGAGAGAAGAGAGGGCGCTGCATGCATTTGATAATCCGGTCAGTCCAGTCCGTACGTCCAGAAGTCATGCATCCGGTGGGCACTGCATGCACTCCACAGGGCGAATTTGTATATGCATGTATGCACGTACGTACGTGCGTACGTACTTGCGTTTGTATGTATGCATGTGCGTATGTACTGTATATTGTTTGTGTTTGTGTAAATCTCTGTTTGTATGCATGCGTGCCTGCATGTACAGAGGGATGGATTGATGTATGGAGAGATGGATGTATCAGATGGTTGGGGACTTATGGTTCTCCCACACCTAGTTTCCAAAAGGGCGTGGCATGTGGGGGCGGGTGCGAGTGTGACTAAGCTAGGCAAAAGCGTCGCCAAATTTACCCCCCAAAAAAAAGCGCGCTAGCGCCACCTTCCAAGCCAAGGTCCTTTGCAATGCGCACCTCGATCGATGGTAAAGTCCAAGGCCCTGGCACCTTTGGATTTCAGGACCATCCTTTTTCAACGAAAAACCTTGACAACATGAGTTAAGTTGTATATCAACCCAAACAACATGAGTTAAGTTGTATATCAACCCAAAAGTCAGCTTCAGGCAGGGAGGCTTGAAAGGCATGCCAATCAATTTTCTCTTCAAAGGTGTGACTGATCAAGTGGCAGGCTTCGCCAGCAAAGGACACATTGCAGTCAGTAGCATTCTGATGTGTTCGCTTGAATGAGGGTGCCCCAACAAAGTGACCCTAGGCACCCTGCGAATAGAGCCTTGGGCGCCATTGCGAGGACATGATTGCAGTGGTTGAAGACCCCTCCTTGGTTGAGTACGTTTGCAGAACGCCCCAAGAGAAATTGAAGAAGGCCTTCTATGCCAGGCAGGAAGGGTTTCTTGCGCCATCGATGATGTCTCACGGTTTGGTAGCATCTTCAATGGCTCAAAGTTTCGCGCGCTTGCATGTCCTTGCATGCCCTTCGCATTCTCTAGCCTTCTGCTTGTCTGACAATCAATTTGCTCATGTTGCCGGATTTGTCGGCAACGCAGAGTGCGGCAGGTGGGTTCACGGATTGAATACGCAGGCTCCCTGGCAACTCAGCTAACCTTAGCCCATGTCAAGATCCCGAAGCGGATCAAAAGAGTGCTTTCAGGGCCTGGTGTAAGGCATGTGCAACACCAGCCCCCAAGGGTGCAACACTGGTCCAGTCCATTGAGAAAAAAAGCGCCTTCAAAGCATCAGAAGAGCGATTCAAACCCAGTATAGGTGGCCATCGTTATCCAAGAAGGAAAGCAACGGTAATTGCAAAATAGATTTTGGATCGCTCAACTCCACATGTGTATAGTCCCCAGGCAGGTCAAGTTGACGAGCCAGGGCATGGGCACTGGTTGGGCCGGGGCAAAAAGGAAGAATGTGGCCTCATCATCACCTTCTTCTTCATCATCAACAACAACATCAGCTTACCAACTTACGAACTTAAGAACCTACCAACCTACCAACCAATCATCAGCCAATCGAACCAGCCAAACAGCCAAACAGCTAAACAAACCAAAAACCCACAGCAACAGCAATAGCAACAGCGCTAGCAACAACGTCAACATCAGATTGATCATCCATCTTCATCTTCATCTTCATCCACATTCGTCCTTCTTCATCCCTCCTTCATCCATCCTCATCCGCCCTCATCCACCTTCATCCATCGTCATCCATCTTAGTCCACCTTTGTCTATCTTCATCCATCTTCATCCATCCTCATCCATCTTCAACCATCTTCATCCATCTTCATCCATCCTCACCATCCATCAGCTTCTTGCTGTGATTCAAAAGAAAGTTTTCGCAAAGCTGTCCAGACAGCCGACTGTCAGGCTAGGCTAAAGTTGTCTTGTTGCGGCCGAAACCCAGCAGGGGTTGTGGTAGGGAGGCAGGCAGGTGTGTTTTGTAAAATGGCAACGGCAGATTAGTTTTAGGTTTTGCAAGACACGGAGGCCATGCGGCCATGCCCAATGAGAGGCGGAAGCATCACACATTTGTGGAGTAGCGGAAAGAATTTTGAGCATTGACAGGACATGGACGGACGCAAAGCGGCTAGGATTTGATAGGACACGTGTGACACATTATTCTTCTGAAGCATCGTACACACATTTCTTTCTGTTCTTCATAGATTTGCTTGTATCCTCTAGGGCATCTCTACTGCAGAAGTATGGGACCTAAATCCTCTTTCAAATTGCTACCCGGGTGGTTTTTGTAGCCCGTGCGCATTCCGAATTTTTCAGCGGCCCATTTTCATAATATACAGGGGGCGTAGAATGCATCAGTGTGGACAAACACACCTCAGGACTTTTGTGCGCGACTTCGTCACCAACCACTACCAGCTGTACGATGGCTTTGGAGGCGCTGACGTTGGTTCTAGTCAAGTTCAGAAATGTAAAACAGGAAAGCGATGAAGCAAGTTCTGCGCGCGGCTCCCTCCAGCATGACTGGTCAATATGAGGTGCATACTTGCCCGCTGGCCAAGCAACCAAGAACACATTCGTCGAAACATTTTTCCATAAAGCGTTCAAGCATGTATGTTCCCGCCTGGCTGGTTTGAAAACCCAAACAGCCAGAAACGCAAACTGGAGCCACTTTTAGCATATGCGGCCTCATATGCTGCCACTGCTTGTCACGGTGAACCGCATGAAGACTGCAGGTTTTCCATGGTTTATCGGTGAGTATGGTGCAAATGGCCAAACCAGAGAACTCATCGTGTCGGACCTCCAGCTGCTCGGCTGGATTTGGCGTTTGGCTGTGGTAACTCTTGCTGTGGGCAAGGTGGGGGGCGCTGATGATTACGTGGGTGATGGCTGTGATGATGCCTGTGATGAGGCCTGTGGTTGCGATGATGATGATGATGATGGTGATGATGATGATGATGGTGGTGGTGGCGGCGTCGGCGTCGGCGGCTTTGGCTGTGATGAGGTGCGATGATTGGGATATGGCGATGTGGTATTGCTGCTGATGATGTTTTTGATGTTGATAAGTTGATACATTGATATGTTGGCATCCTGATTTGTTGATTTCTTGTTCTATTGGCATTTGGATAGTGGTGGTGATGGTGGTGATGATATGTGATGATGACGAAAAAGACGGCGATGGCGGTGGTAGAGGATAAGAAGGAGGGTTTTGATTGGGGTAGTGGCCCAACTTTCTCCTTTAGCACCCAGCTTGCTAAAATCTTATTGTCGAATTCACAAACTGCTCCGGTTTTATGTTTCACACATGGGTCAGCCTACAAAGGTCAATGGAGGAGAAGGCTATGTCGGATCAGCGTCTTGGCGATTTGTTCTACAACTTCTTTCGGTTTGTCGAAAAAGGTAAACGTCTGCAATGGTGCAGCATTAAGGCCGCCTTCCCTTCACTCGCCTCCAAACTCCTTCTTCCTTTTTCCAGAAGTCCAGGAATAAATCCTGCAGCAGTGGATTGGAGTATTGCAAGTCTTGCTGTAAGGAACTTCTTGGGGTCTGCGTTCTTCCAGTTCCAAACTGCCTACAGCGACTCGGTACTTGAATGCGGGGTCCAGTGCAAGGAAGGAGCGTTCGTGAAAAGATTCTTATATAATCATCGTCGCAGAAGATCTGTGACCGCCACTGGGTTTGAGCGCCCTTGGTTGCGTCATGCGCAGCCATCTGTGAGGTAAAGGCGGGAGTGAGTTGAACTTCGGTCTCTTCAGCATTGGGAAGAGGAGCTGGGACTGCACATGTCAACATTGACTTATAATTATAGGTCAACTTCTTATCAACCCTTCGAAGCACTCATGCTTTAGTTGAAAGAAACCGCCGCCCCCACAAGCAATCATACCCGTTATTTCCTTCACATACAGGAAAATTGGCGAGACTGGAGAGGTTTGCGACCGGAAGAGCCACTGCAGAACATGGCCAGCTGCTTGTCAGAATTCGGAAGGCTGGCTATCTGCTCATGCTCTGGCAAGGGTAAAGCATGTAAAGCTCACACTGACAAGGATAGCTTGCCCGAAGTAAATTTGCCTTAAATCAACCCCGTCAAATCTGAAGTTTTTCAGGTTGCTGCAGAAATACCTAATTCAGCATTGATCCCAGTCTGTATGTGACGGGTGCACCCGAGCATCAAGACGTAGGTTTATGTCCCTTGCGCCGCCTCGCTTTTCATGGGCTTGGTAATGTTGCGAGCGGGTTTCGTGTGTGTGTGTGTGGGCCTTTGTTGGCTAGGCATCTGAAGATGGCATGGAGAGGGTCCTAAGGTTCATGCACCCTGTGTATCTCACATTGTGTACGCACATCAGCGCGCATCGGCTTCAACATATTTCTGCGTGGATCTGGTCGGCTCAACTGGGGCAATTGAGCGCATTGAGCGCATTGACGCAACTGAATTCGACATGGTAGCGGAGCAGGTCCTGTGGCTGATCCAGCCCATCAGGGGACAACGACTGAAATTAGCAGAGCTACTGCGGTAAGAGCGTGGCATCGACAACAAACACCAGCAAACATGGAAGCAGCACCAGCAGCTGAATAGCAGAGCAGGAGCATCAAGCAGCGCAAGGCAAGATCACACCATCAACATGTGATGGCGGCTACGCCATTTGCGAGGAGTGGAAATCGTTTGCGGACATCATCAACTCGACCTTTCGCAGACTGTTGCATCAGGCAGGACAATCAGAAGATCCCATCACTCACTTTTGAGAGGAGGGCCTGATTCCATGCAACTTCAAGGCAGGTGAAGCATGGACTGACTAGCATCAGACGAGTTCAACATCCTCGTATGCAGACAACAAGGCATCATGGCCGACATTTTGGGACTTTAAGATCGCTTGCCATCAGGTTCTCCATCCCAGCCGGTGACCTGCATAACCGCCAAATTCCTCCAAGCATCCTTTGATGACAGCATATGACCGCAGCAACTGAGAGGGAGCATTTGCAATGCGGGAAGTCGAGATCAATCGATGCGAAAGAGACACTAGCACAATTTACTAGTGAATATCACGATTCTAAACCTACTGAACTCATGGAGCATTGCAATAGGATGTGCAGCTTGCAGCACCACATTTCGCACGCTACCAACAAATTCGAACATTCGTCAGGGCGTACCAAAAAGCAGCATAACAAAACATGCATGATCATTCCACAACAATCCCAAGGACGGCACGGGCCCAGCACCAACCAACACCAGTGCAACAACATGGACGGGGCAGGGGCAAATCAAAAGGCAGAAAAGGCTATCCAGAAAAACACCCAATTTAAAATGGCATCACAATGGACAAGCCTGTGGCAACTACAACAGAGGCAACGTGAAGGGTTACAGCCGCACCGGACATGAAAACCTCTCAAGCGTAAAGGAAAGCAATCAGCATATGTTAAAGGTCAGTGGCAGGAAATGAAAGGACACATGCTACAAAATTGGCAAGCTGGGACAGGGCAATATCTCCCTGTCTGTAAGCTAGACAGGGGACACCAGCATCAACTGTCATATGAGAGCAACCTGACGCAGAGAGATGGCTTGCTCTACAGCCATCTCAGGCAAGCAACAATACCTACTGATAGCACCGACAAGTATGCTCAGCCGACGCCAACATCTGGATTGTGATCAGCCAAGGATACATCGTGCGCATCCACAAGCTTTCATGGCAGGGATGCATGAGGAAGTCCTTTCCACACCTTTCAGCAAACAGTCTCTCCAGATCAACTTTAGGGAAGACAATCGTCAAGCAGCCTGTGCAAGAACCATCTGAGGCCATTGCAAGTTCAAACGCTCGCAGCAGAACAGGATCATCGATGGACCTGCTTGGATTGCGGAGGCTTGGCCGGGACTTGGCCCAAGCTCGTTTGAGTTCAGTGTTCAGTTGTCTTTTTTGGGGTGTCCTCTTGATCCATCTGTTGGTTTCATGGCGGTCGTTCTTGCTGGCATCTGGCAGGTCCTCCCTCCCTCTGATGGCTCAGGGCTATCAAGCACATTCCTTGGGATGACACGGGCCCGTTTCCAGTTCCTGACCCATGAGTCTGATGGCCATGATGGCTTCGTCATTGCTGCTGGATCTCGGGTGCTGCAGTTTCTCGCCAATTGCTTGCTTTCTGCTCTGAAGGGTGGCGCTTCTTGTTTAGTTTTTTACTGGGCTGCTTGTTCTGCTAATGCCTCTTGTTGTTTTGTGTGCTTGCTAGTGCGGTGCTTGCTTTGTCAGACGCAGCCGTGATGCTTGCCAATGTTCCAGTTCCAGGCTTTGGCCAACATAAAAAATCATCCCAATCCTCGCAGCCAGTAGTGTTGAATGAGGACTTTGTTCAATATTCAATACCAATGACCCAAGACAACCAACTGCTTTGTGATCATGCAGTCAAGCAACCATCCAGAGGGACAAGGAGTCATGCTTGAAGCAAGTACTGAAGGAAGCGACATCCCAAGCTGCAGGCCTATCCGCAACATTCGCCCCAGTATGCATACCGCTGGCAGAGCCACGGCAGCACCGGGAGGCTTCATCGCATTCTTTGGCCAAGCGAATGTCCTGACAGAATCTATCAGGAAAACAGCTGGGATCAGCATCCACATGAAGTTTCCCATCGCGCGACCTCATCCAAGTAAAACACCGGCCTTTCTGTCAAAACCTTGCCCCATGCAAAGAAAGCCTTCTTATGGCTGTTTTGGACCACGTTGAAGGCATCTTGGGGCCACATTGGCTATTTTGGTTCCAAGGGCCATGTTATGTGCACACGCGCGGAGCAATATCACCCCGGGTCGCACTAGGCTTCTTGGGCGGTCAGCATCTGGAGGTGACCGTTTCAAGTGGCATGTTGGGTGGCATTTTCAGGGTTTTCCATCGCAGCTCAGCTTGATGGCAAGATGGGTCAAGCTGAATATTTTTTAACCATGTGGAGGCCATTCTTGGGCCGGAGATGCGCTACGATAGGCTTTCTTTCTGCCACCTACCACGGGCCATTTTGAAACAATGTGCGACCGAGGTTGATTCCAAAACTGCCAAAAACATTGCAAAACACCGCCTTTTCTGTCGAAACCCACTTCGATGCCAAGATGGCGCATGCTGAGGCTGGTTGAGGCTGATTCGGGCCATGTTGAAGTCGTCTTGGGGCCAACTTGGCTGGCTATATGTTGGGCCACGAAATTGGCACTGCTACAAAGAATGCCTAATGATCCTAGCATTGCTTTCTTGAATCCACAAGAAACAAGCTCATGCAGCCTCCAGGCGTCCACATAGCCGCCCTGGAACAGCATGCCAGTAAAGGGCGGATCGTGCTTTCGGCCGGCGGCCGGTGCTGCCTAACGCTGCCTTCTGAATCCACACGACGAATCACAAAAACCATTGTTAATTTTCCTCTGTCGCTTCCCCTAGCTGATGGCTGGGGTCCACGGATGATATGAAATATTATCCCCCCCTTTAACCCTGGAATATTTGGGGGGGTAAGGCAAGAAATTTCTGAGAAATATTTCACCTGACCACGTGAAATATACCCCTCCCCCACGTGTTTTTTGGGGCTTCGAAAAAACGTGGGGGGGGTCCTCCGGATGCCACATTTTAGCCCAGAGATGGTATGACACACCCTTTCATTTTGCGTAAAACGAGCGCGCGTCTTCTACACGCCGACGCTGTTCCTTTTTGGACCTTTTTAGTCCTTACGCGGGTAGGGCCCGCGCGCAAACACACAACTAGGTAAATGGTAACTGCCGGTTTCCAAGAAAGTAAATAAGAGGGTGAACTTGCAAAACAGCCTTCAGAACATGACATTCAGCCTTGAATTCAACCACGCCCAGAGACCATTATAGACCAGATTTTTTTTAGCTGAAATATTTCACTTTAGGGAGGTGAAATATTTCTAGGTGTGGGGGGGGGGTAGACCCCCCTAAAGTGAAATATTTCAGTTTTTACCCCCCCCATATTTTTTCTAGTTGCTTGGCAAGAAATATGCAGCCCTCTTGATTTGACGGCATGTGCCTTGCAAACCGTTGCAAACCCAGTAATCCGCGCAGCATGCGCTGTCCTAGCCCTAGCCAGTATGGTTTGACAACCATCAACCAGCATTATATATTGTTTCTGCAGAACAGTAGGGAGTGTAAAACGCTCCGGGGCCTGACACCCAGGTCTATTGCACCTTGGATCTGAATGATGGTGGCCGGTGCTGACGGACGGCAGGGGCGGGGTTTTCACAAATGCCTCGCAAATGCGCCACTGGCATTGGGCCTAGGATGAAGAGCTTGCCTGCTGCGCCTCTTTTGGGTAGCTTTCTGTGCATGTGATGCTAAGCCACCATCCACAATTACTTGGCAGGGGCAATCAACGTATTTAATTTTCCAGGCCTTGGCTCAATGTTTGTGACTCTTCTTCCTCATCGTTTCTTGTGGTTCTGGGTGGACGACAGTTTTTGCGATTTCTGGTGGCCCATGTAGATTGAGTTCTCCATTCACATCTCGCAAAATGCCTCACATCGAGGTCTTGGAACAAAGTTGCCTTGGTTTGATGCCGAACCAGCTCTTGGTAAACGTGCAGAGGCCGGCTTCCAGGGTCAAGGCCCAGTTTGGGCGCACTGTCAGGATTAAGTTTCTGTTTCAGGCCGTATACCCAAGGTGTCAAGTTTCGCGTTCAACATAATCTTCGAGCTGTTTGGGGCAACTTTGGCACAGATGCCAAGATTTGTTTCTTTGCGAAAGGTCCTAGGAGGGGTTTTTCCCACAGAACCGCTGCCAATTTCAACTTTGACATCGCACACTTTTTCTTCATCTACATCACCTACATTATCTACATCACTTCCTTCCGCATCACCTTTACATCATCTACATCATTTGCATGATCTTCTACATCATTTCCTTCTACACCTATCTACGCAGTCTACATCTTCTACATCCTCTACGTTACCTTCTACATCACTGCCTTCTGGAATCATCTTCATAATTTACATCATCGAAATCATGTACAACTCCTACATCACCTACATCACTTTCTCCTGCAATCATCTACACATCTACATCATGTACATTGTCTCCATCATCTTTAGGTGATCAT